TTTCCATTCAGGTGCGTCCGCGTCCATACCATCAACCCGCGCCTCGACGACTGCGGTGAAGATGATGTTCTAGACCGTAGCGACTTGTCGGAGCTGCTCGATGATGGAGGTACTCCAGATGAGAGTTTTGGCCTCCAGGTAGCCGTCCATGGGTGACTCCATACTAGAAATTTCGCAGCAGTTTGGAGGTGACATGAGTTCCGAAGGTCTTCTCCAGTCAGGTTGCGACTGGAGATGACTTCATATTTTGGTGTACATGAAGTGGTGGGCGTGAGCCAGCTCCTGTTTATAGAGGAACATCTTGGGTATCCTCCGCCTTTGATACTCGTATCCACGTCCTCTGTCTGGGCTGCAAAAAACTTTGCTGATAGGGGACTTGGTCAAAGTGACTTTTTTTTGGTCACCCTGTATTTGAACAGAGCCGTGCTAGTACTGAATCGGACGCCCTCGTTGCTGTGAGTTGATCTAATAATACAATGCTTAGTGCGCTGTGTAGCAGGAGGCGATCAGTGGGTGTTCAGGCTGTAAACAGGGTGGAGCAAATCAACAGTGACTGGCAGCATTGGACAGGGTGTAACTTTCAAGCAAATGAACCAGGGCCAACCAACGAAATGGTTCACCAGGGTAAGCTATTGTGGAAATTACCATAGAACATTTCTCATGGCACTTTTTCACATACTCTCCTCTTTGCCATAGGAAAAGTTTAAAAATGTAAAAATTTGCAGATCGCACGGGCAACCACTCAGCACATGGGCTGCAATGTTGTGACTTGCAATTAGCACTGGAATGTTTTATGTCAATACAAAACTGGGTTCGTCTGCTTCGCTCACTTCACTATGCTTTTTCTCTATCCTTGAGAACTTTGCAAGTCTATAGGGTGGCTTGTCTTGCTCTCAAGACTTCTCATTTAAACCCAAAATTTTGGGCTTATCTGCTTCCTAGCAGTTCTCATCTTCAAGGCGGTGGAGTTCACCTTTTAGGTGGAAACAAGCTGAACTAGAAGCAAGGCAAGGTAGCAGCCTGTTCTGCATGCCCTCAAAACACCTACCGCAACGAATATAAGCTGTGCCAGGTGCTTTCCACCTTTTGAACTTCACAAGAAAAGAAAAACTGCCTTCTTTCATACTTTCCTACGTTAGAAAATAAAAATTCGACAGTACTCAATTCTTGACTTGAGGAAATGTTTTGGACTTCCTTCAGAAACGAATCTGCATTTAGTTCGTCCTAAAGATGGAGAAAACGATATGAACTTTGATCGGCATCCCCGGACCATATAATACGCTACAGAATGACACCAGTTTCATTGTGCATACAGTCATTTCATGGAGACGTTAGGGCAAATGGTTTTACATACTTATCAAATGGAGAGCGGAGTAGTGCCTCATCCTTTGGAAAGAAACAATTTCAGCTAGTAATATCTAGGAGTTACGAACAGTGGGTGGTGTAGTAACAAGTGGCACGCTTGCCAGCGCTCACGATCCTGAGATCATATCCTGTAACTGTTCCCGCCCAGAATAACCAGGCCTCCTACTCTCCGGCGACAGTAAATCTGTACCAGATCCTTGTGAGAGGATCTTGAACACTGACTCGCACATCGGCTGGCTGCTACAAGCCATTGTATAGGCCATTTCGCATTCAATAAGCCGCTGCGATTCTATTCTTGTGAAGGATCCTCAGTGTGAATGATTTCATGGACACATTCCTGGCTGTTCATTTGTCACGCAAGAACTTCCAGCAGATACGAAAGCACTAACCATGAGACCATCTCTCAACACAATGTGAGTGATAAATGGAGGTTTTGGCATCATGACCTCCGGCGAAATTCTTACGTCAGCGCCACATCATTGAGAAGTCTTCCCAAGTTTACGCATCTTCACGCACAACTTCGTGTGATTTCGGGCTCAGCCATGTCGTTTGGAGAATAAAGATATTTTTCAAGGCAAGATCGTCCGCTGGAGCGCGTTCGGGTTTAAATGAATAAGCTCCTTGAAGCAGTGAAAGAAGAAATCAACAGCCAAAATTTTTTTCTATGAGGTCGTCTATAATGTCTCTATTAATTTAGAAACATTACCTCACGCCATTATCAAACACAAGAATTGCAGGGAAATGCTTTCGTAAGCACTGAGAAGAAATAAATTTTGCATCAATGATTCAAAGCCTCCACCATGTATTCGCGAGACCTGCCGCGTATCCACTCTACCACGCTGCTTCGAGCGGGATAGACTTAGCCGGTGAATCCTTATGAGCGCCAGTAGGCTCCCTATAAGAGAACCCTGTGACTGTGCTCTGGGTTGTCACGCAGGCGAGCTGGGGATGAAAGGTCGGATCGGCTCCCGCCTCATATTAGGTTGTCCGGAAAGTTCTCAGCGTTTTGTGCACCTATTTTTTGTACATTCACTGCTGATTAAAAACTCATTCTGCCTTGCTTCTCAGTAGCACATCCTGTAGAGAATTTCTTGCGCTATCTGATGGTATAATTGCCGTTTTACATTGCTTGATAAACCCCCTTTTTTCAAGATTTTTTCAAGCATGTGAAAAGAGCACTTCGGACGATTTTTTTCTTCGACTATAAATTGGGGCAATCCGCAATCGAAACGGCTCAACAAATTGACCAGGTGTGGACTCCCAATTGTGCTAGAGAAAGCACTGTGCGACAATGGCTCAGCAAATTCGTTCTGGAGATTTCAGCCTTGAAGATGAACCTCATAGCGGTCGACCTAAAGCAATATCTGACGCGGATTTTAGGGGATTTTGGAGGCTGACCTATCCCAAACAGTTCAAGATATTGCAGAAAAGCTAGGCGCTAGCAAATCCACTGTTGCAGATGGTCTGAAACGCATTGGAAAGGTGAAAAACTCGATAAGTGGGTGCCCCACAATTTGAGTGACCGGCAGGAATCGGCATGTCTCTAGGTTCCCTCTGCATTGCTTTTGCGCAGCAGAAACAACCTGTTTTTGGACCGAATTGTCACCTGTGATGAAAAATGGGTCATGTATGATAACAGGAGAAGTTCCGGACAGTGGTTGGATTTCGACGGACTACCGAGGTAATTTTCAAAGCCGAACCCTCACGAAAAAAAGATTCTGGTCACGATTTGGTGGTCATCTTTTGGTGTGATCCACTATAACTTTTTGTTACCAGGCCAAACCATCACAGCATAGTCCTACTATGAAGAAATCGACGAATTGTACCGAAAATTCTGTCAGATGCAGCCAACACTTATCAAAAGAAATGGTCCGATTCCTTTGCATGACAACGCCCGCCCACACGTTTCACAAATCATTATCCATAAATTGAACGAATTGGGGGTTGAAGTTCTACCTCAGCCGCCATATTCTCCAGACCTTTCGCAAACCGACCATCACCTTTTCTAACATTTTTAGAACTCCCTTGCTGGAAAATACTTCATCAATCAGGACCAGGCAAAAAAGCCTTAGTGGATTTCGTGAATTTTCGACCACCCAGTTTTTCACTTTGATGGGATTTCTCGACAGCTATCACATTGGCAAAAGTGTGCTGATTCGAATGGTGCCTATTTCGATTAAATCTGACGAGTATTAAAAAAGTTAGATCGTTTAAAGTGAAACACCCAAAACGCTGAGAACTTTCCGGACAACGTAATATAACCGAGCTGCTCATCCCTTGGTACCGGCCAGTCATCCCCGCAATTCATGCCATAGGACATCGCTCTCAGAAGCCGCTGCTTGTTTACATGAAGGAAGAGTGTCCATTCTGCGCCGTGAAGAAGGACCCATCAGCAGCAGATAGCGAGAGTCGAAGCTTCGCAATTCAACGACAGAGCAATGTTGAAGATCAAGACGTTGGCTTTGAATTCACGTTGAAGGAGCAAAACAGAGCTGTCGATCATGTGAGCAGGAGAAATGACGGTCGGTGGAGTTTCGCGATCACGAGATGGTCCCCACGTGACAAAAAGCGAACGCGGAGCTGTCCCTCTCTCACTCTAGCTTACTGTAACAATGTTTATGATCGGATCTCTTGAGCGGCTTTCGGACATCGCAACAGCGCTTCGATGGCGCGATCTCGCAGGCTTTCATCTGATTCGATCGCGCTGAATGCCAGGATCGGTTGAACTGCCGCTACTTCAATGATGTATCAGGCTCTGAAACACACATTAAACACGGTAAAGCAATGTTCCGTGTTGCACAAAGGGAGTCTGAGCGGAAACAACAATGACCATGTTCGCTCAGACTTCACGGTTTGCAAACGCTGAAGTAACGCTAGTCATAAAAAGCATCTCACGGCTTTCTGTGTGACGACATAACGCTCTTTCAGAATGCGGTAGTTCTATGCAAGCCCAGATCTATTGAAAGCTGGATGATGTAAAGGAAGTGGACCGGGTTGCTTACAAGAAAAAAGCAGTAGTCTGCATAAATTTAACTCCTCTGAATTTGACACAGCAAGATGTTATTTCTGCTTCGTATTGGCAGGATTTCATCATGTAGCAGTGTGGTGCATCAAAGCGAAGCCTTTCTGGATGCGGTTGCCATTGAATCATCCACATATGTTTAACACTAATCAATCTGCTGTAATGTCATTAATAGTACATTCTTGCTATTCACTAATCTTTCTCGATCCAGCCTTCCTCAGTCTTAGCATGAGCGCAATTGAATTAGGAGAGCGGCGCAGTCGAGCGCTTGTGCGATCGACTCGTTCGAACGCTTGTGCCATCGACGCGTTTGAAATCTTGCACGATAGATCGCGCCAAACGTGCGATCGAAGCACCGCCATCGCGAAGTCTGCGCCTTAGGTCTCCATGCATTGAACTACCAAGGAAGGCAGAGAAAAAAGGATAAAAAGTTCCAAACCGAGCAGAGTTAACCGCTGCAGAAGTAAAGGCCATCCAAGTAATCTAAAAAAGTTGTCACCGCCAGGAATGCCGATTACAGAGAATCTGTATCCTAATTCACAAATTCAGTTATGCACAATTTTTTTATTTTCAAACTTGGAAGAGCTATAAAGGGAAGCAGGTATTCGTGAAGTCAAAACTTGGAAAGTAGCTGGCACAATTTGTCTTCGTTGCAGTAAGTGTCCTGAGGGCATGCAGAACAAGCTGTTCCCTTATTGTAGATCTTTTCGTTGAGCTTGTTACCTCTAAAAAGATGATATATGATCCATTGCTTCGAAATCTCGACGCTAATCCAGGACGCTCCAGGAAATTAGAACGCCTAGTGAAATGGAAAAGCTGAATGAAATGAGCGAAGCAGGCGAACCCAGTCTTGTAGTGACAAACTACATTCCAGTATTGGTTGCAATTCACAACCGCGCAGCCCATGTACTGAGTGGTTGCCCATGCCATCTGCAAATCGCGACATTTTGGGAATATTCAAATGAGATGTTAGTTGTGAATGTTAGTTGTTCAATGGAAACTGTCACAGCAGATCTTACCCTGGTGAACCATTCAGTCGGCTGACCCTGGTTCATTTGCGTGAAAGTGACACCCTGTCCAATGCCGCCAGTCACTCTAAGTTGGCTCCACCACTGTTTTACAGCCTGAACGCCCATTTATATTCTCCTGCTTTATCGCGCACTCAGTATTAATTAGATCAACTTACAACAACGAGGGCGTCGGGTTCACTACTAGCTTGGCTCTTGAAGAATATATGAGAGTTTTCTTGTACATCGGAAGGAAGGTTCGGATTATTTATGAAAGAACACCTTCTTGCAGATTCGGCGGCACTGGTTTCTAGTGTGCAATTGTATTCCTAGTAATTGATACATCAAGCACGACTGGATGAAAGAAACTGCTAAAAAAGAGGCAAACATCCTCAGTAAATATGAAAATGTGAAATACCAGTCGCAACATGTTTGTAGCTGCCGGCAAATTTCTCCCCGCTTTGTTTTTCACTTCGCCTCTTGCCAATTTCCCTCTGAAAAGCAATCTTCACGAAATGTTCCCCAGCACACACGGATACTTTTCAGTAGTGCTTCACCTGCGGAAATTGTGTGCAGTTTTTGCCTTTACCCTTGTAGCGTCAACCATTCCAGTGTTCTGCGGACATAGGCGATTATCGGGCGCTGGAATGCTGGGGAAGTTGCGCAATTTATTTGTATGACCGTGCAATGGCAGCAGAGAAAAGGAAAAAAAATCTATATTTTCTGCTGTGAATAGCTTGTACGGCCGTCAACGCTGTGAGGAAACGGCTTCCGTATTTGTTTTGATGTTACCAGCCCGTTCACTTCTGTGTTTGTCTATCTGTGCATAAATCTAAATTAAGTCAGTCCACTTCATGTCACGGATGGATTTGAGCCGCGATCAGCGAAGCATGAATACAGCTGAAATCCTTCTGAAAAAGGTCAACGGGTTGGAGAAGGCACACAATTTGCTGGGGCACTCTATGATGGCGATGGCTACGAAAGCAGATTACCCAGTCCTGAGCAGTCCGAAGAATGAAGAGTCCGTTCGTGGAGACGCTCGAAATAACAAAGTCGAGGGGCTGCTGGAACATATCCACAGCAGCGGGCTCCGAATTGGCAGTTGGAGCCAAATTCTTAGCTCGATTTGTCTGGAGACCGGTAAAATAGTATAAGGAGCATTGCCCAAAAATTTGTTCACAGGAGAAGCGGAAAGCGTCAGCTAACGATCCAACTTCCTGTAGTTCATCATGATAAACATGTGAGAACTCAGTACTACACAACGTCATTCTTATAGCAGTGAGCTCGTCACTGACTGTGCTGCGCCCCTTCTCCAATCTTGATACACGTCTTTTCGGTGTCTGAAGTGGTTTGAATAGTTTTTAATTGCTGAGTTGAGTCAAGCCCACCTTTGCGCACACTCCACCCACTCTGACTGTATCTCCCTCTTTCCATCCGGTGACCAACCGCTGCTCAATCCCTTTTTCCCCCGTATCTGGAGTGCTCTGGAACCGTTTTCGCTTTTAAGCTAGGCTAAGCATTCTTTGACGCGAACCTCGTTCACACTAAGTGTAGCTTTCCAATTCCGTATACCACCGCTAGCCTTGGTTTCTTCTCTCCGGTGTCTGGAGTGCTTTGAAATGGTTGTACTTCTACTTCTCTAAGTTTTTACTTGAGTTCAGCTTTTTAATCGCCCAACTCGCAGCGCGCTCCATTCTTCCTAGATGCTCCTCCCTCTTCCCATCCGGTATCCCTTGGCTGTCCCAAAATCCCCTATACCCGGTACCTGGGGGTGCGAGACTGAAACACAGCTTCTGGAATGATTGATTCATGTTTGGGGGTAGCCCCGCCCCTTGTGGGCGGGTCTCGGCACAACGCGGACATACCCAACTTTCAGCAGGCTATCCACGTCTCCATTTGGTTTTGTTGCGACATTTGAGCTCTCTCGAGGAGCAATTTACTGATTCGTGGGAAGCATCGCACACCTCAATTACGCCCCCCTTTCATTCAGAGGATGTTCTGTCCACTTGGTCTGTCAGCCCTTTGCTAGCCTTATCCCACCTTTCCCCCATCTCGGGGCTGCCTCGAAGCGGGATTATAAATTTTCCAGTGGCACCGGAAACAAAGCTCTTTCTGCACACCCCGCCCATTTTGAATGGGAGTCCCGGAGTTAATCTGCGAACCTCTTGTTGATTTTACGCCTTTGCTTAACCATCTCTGGATTGCTAATGATAAGTTTTGCACCGCCACCTTTCCACCATGCTCCGCCCGCTGCGGGTGGGGCTTCTCATGGGTCATGTGCTTTCTTTACATTTTTCCCTACGCTCTACCTATTCCAGCCTCAACCCAACCTCTCCAAGCTGCTCTTCAGGTTGAACCAAATTTCAAGAGGACAAAGATAGCAAAGTGTGAATAGAAAGGATGCTGTCTTGAAACCAACAGGGAGCAACCGTAGTTGCGATAGTGGTTGATTCAGTTGTAGTCGGCTCTTCTGTCGTTGTAGACGGCTCTTCCGTTGTTGTAGACGGCTCTTCTGTTGTGGTGTCGTTAGAGCTGCCCTGTGTGAGAACCACGTGGTGGTTCACCTATAAAAGAGTTTTTAATAGGAGGAAAGGCGCTTACGAAGGAAAGACTCACCACTATTGCAACGAACAGAAGGTTCCACCAGCACATGTTGAAGAGTGATGTTACTTAAACACCACCTCCTTTTATATGGACCCTCATATTAATTTTGTATAACCAGAAAATTGCAAATATTATTAAAGCATTGTTGACCTAGCGTTTTTCTGCATGTTTGCCACGTTTGACAAGTCCGTTCGGTTTTTCTTCATGTTTGAAAATGTGCTCCAGAAGGAGGGCTCATCATCACATCAATAACTGCAAAGAGAGGTAGAACTTAACGTTGAAGTTATCAAGGTTTCGAACACATCCATCATGTGTCACAAATCTTTCCAATGTATTTCCAAACGGTTGCAGGCAAAAGCTCTGGCCGAGCTTGAAAACAGCCATTATATGGGGTGATACATTCCTACATTACGCCTTGTCGGTATTTGGTGCCCCATCTAAGTTATGGTCATTTGAGCCTTTATTTATTCTGTTCTCTAGACAGAAGCATTTATATAATAAATTATTATGATAATAACCCCACATACAGGGGGGGGGCAAAAAAAGACTTTTTTCCTCCTCGACTTTCGAGGCGCTGTAAGTTACACTTTATCAAATTGTTACCGGACCAGACATTTCTACCACAATATTGAAGAGTATATCAAATACTATCATGATACTCCGCCACAGTCTTCTAGAGGAGCACCATCGAGTGATTCTGCCACGCGAGCGTCAGGGGGTGCGTGAATTCAGCGAGGTCGTTGATATTTCCGCCGCTGTAGACCACCCCATTGAACTCCGCCCGAGTCAGGTAATTGATAGGGTTCAGGTCAGGTTCTGCTTAGATATTCCACCTTCTTCAGGTACTCAACGCCTTTCCATTACAAGTAGGCAAGAGTTTCTCCAACGCCCTTCGATTTCATGTGGTGTCATCCAATCCTGGAGCAGTACAAAGTTTCCAAGAAGGTACGGGTGACGACATGTCTAGAGGATATTCTTCTCGAGTTGCTCGATGTAACCGCCAGCGCTCACCTTCAGTCCGGGGCCCGCGAAGAAAATAGCGGTCTCTCCATTCCAGGTACGTACGGTCCCCACCACAACCCGCGCCTTGGCCACTGCCCTGAAGATGATGTCCTAGACCGTAGCGACGCTGTCGGAGCTGCTCGATGTTGGAGGTCTTCCAGATTGAGAGTACTGGTCTCCAGGCAGCTATCCATGGGTGACTCTCTACTAGAAGTTTCGCAGCAGTTTAGAGGTGACATGATTTCCAAAGGTCTTCTCCAGTCAGGCTGCGACTGGAGATGATTTCATCTTTTGGTGTACATGAAAGCGATGGGCGAGCGCCAGCTCCTGCTTATAGAGGAACATCTTGGGTATCTTCCGCCCTGGTACTCGTATCCACGTCCTCTGTCTGGGCTGCGAAAACCTTGCTGAGATGTGACTCAGTCAAAATATCTTTTTTTTTGGCCCCTCCCCTGTATATAATTCGCCTCGTCTGTTTGCTTGTTTGTTTGTACGTTTAATTGTCTATCCGGGAATTCGGTTCGACCTGAAGAAAGGCCTGTAGAGGTCGGGTCAAGGTGGGGCTGGGTAGAGCATGGGATAAGATAAAGCACACTTAACCTATGGGAAGCCCCGCCCACACTGGGCGGGGTACTCGCCGAAAGTTTGGGGTTCCGCAGAAAAATGTTCATAATTCACTTCCGCAGCAGCATAAAGATGGGAAAAAAGGGAATAAGGTTAGTAAGGAGTCGCCAGACTATCTGCGGCAGACACATCCAAAATGGGCGGGGCGTAAAGTGCTTCCCGCGAAATTAGTAACCCGGTTCGCGAGTGTTTGGAAGTCGCAAAAAACTCAGTGTAGAATGTAAATATCTGGCGAATATAGGGCATGCTCAAAGTGTGCTGGGACCCGTCCACAGTGGGCAGAGCTTGCAATTAATCGCAGGGTATCCATGTTAAAAGTTTGTAGCTCGGTTCCAGAACACTCCAGACAGCGGAAAAAAAGGACTAAGGTCAGAGAGTCGCCGGTGAGGATTTTGGGGCAAAAACATTGTAGGCGGAGCCTGCTCGGAGGTGGGCGGAGCCATACAAAAAGGTCCGTAAAACGGTTCCAGGGCACTCCGAAGACAGGACTAACGTGAATCCGGGTCAGCAAGGGGTCGCCGATTGAGAAATGTGAGGTACACATATTGTGGGTGGAGCCAGCTCTAGGTGGGCGGAGCCAGACGAAAATTCTCTGAAACTTCCCAGAGCACTTCAAAGGCCAAAAAAAAGCGGATTATGGTCAGCAGAGGCTCGCCGGTGAAGAATGTCGGGCACAAACACTGCTCTGAGGTGACGGGGCCTGCTCCGAGGTGGGCGGAGTCAAACGAAGGATCTGTAAAATAGCTCAAGGGTACTTCAGACACCAGAAAAAAGTGGAGTACAGAACAAAAGGC